AAAGCTCTAAGGTTCGTTGGGGCTTGAAGTGCAATGTGCAAATAAAGCGTGGGTTTTACTGAGAAGAGGAGCAAATGGAGAAAACATATATATATATATATATATATATATATATATATATTTAGTTCAAGACTAACAATTATAAGCATGAATAACAAATATATGGACAAAGAAATTGATTATTTTTACGATAAAGTGAAATATCAATGGTTTAGCGTCGCCTCTTCAGGAAATGCTCATTCACAAGGAAAAGTATGTCTTAGAGCTTTATGACGACACTGAAGCGCACATTAAGTGAGGGGAAGCGCTCAAACACGTTTTGAGCCTCGTTTCAGGGCTTAAGTGTGCCTTTGATAACACTGTTCCTCAGATAATGTGTAAAGTGTATTTATACCATGCATCAACACCTTATTTGGATAACGCAATTGTCTAAACATTGAAATAGTTGTATCTAGTTGTTTGTCATAAATATGCAAGCGAGAATGAAAGGATGTAATAAATCAGAGGGGAGACTGGAAAGTTTCTTATTAGACACCTTCATCCTTGCTATTCTCCAAAGGAGCTTCAGATTGCCCAGTTGGGCTTGATATACTATCATTCTCATCGGCACTAGTTTCCTCTGTTTCTTTGACAGCCTCTATGACACTTGGTATTTCAGTTGCAACCTCATTTTCCGCTATATTATCATCAGTTAGTTTCTCCACGACCTCCTCGCCAACTATAGTTTCAGATGCTGAGATCTGATCAGCTGCTTGCTCATATGAGCCAGTTTCAGCTTCAGTTTCCTCAGCATCTCCTACAGGTGACACCTCAGCTTGCTGACCAATCGTGGATGTGCTTCCTTCAGGAGCTGACTCCACTTCTTCATCAACGTTTTGTTTCGTATCCTCCCCTTTTATAGTTTCTGGAACACCATTATTTGCAGCATTGACTGATTCTTCCTCTTTGCTAGTAGTTTCAGGCAACACATCCATTTTATTAGTCGCCACATCTGATTGCTGTGCATCTTCCTTTGATTGTTCAGCTAGTTCGTCTTCTTTTTCCCTCTCATCCAAAAATGAAGAGATCTCTTTGTTGCTACGGAAAGCCAATAGAAAGGGATTTGTCGCCGAATGGACAACACCCTGGTTGAGCTTTGAGTCCAACTCTGAAGCAGCTTCTTCTTTTTTCATGGTCAAAGTTACCTGTCCTCTGGCAATGCGCAATACACGGACATTAACTTTTTGGCCTACTTGTAGTGAAGAGCCACTGTCAATAATTCCAAACACTTCATCAGTTTCCTCTGATGCTGGCAGGAATCCTTCCTCTCCCTCAGGAAGAGATATAAAAGCACCAGACCTGGTTAGATTTTTTACAGTGCCCTCAAGATCTTGCCCCTTGACAAACTTTGAGACTTTCTCATCTCTCCTTTGGTTGTTCCTTTGTGTGCTCTTCCTTTGAGTTCGGGGTCTGTCGCTACTGGTTGGAGTATCTTTCTGTTGCTGTGGCCTACTAGGATCATCACTTTCACGCATGGTGAGAGATATGCGCCCTGTCTCAGTGTTTGCTTCAACTAATCTCACTGTAACCTCTTGTCCAACAGATACAATGCTTCCTACATCCTTTACAAAACTATCACTCAACCTAGAAACATGCACCAGTCCATCCGTAAAAGCGCCAAAATCAATAAAAGCACCAAATGGCTGTATCGATCTGACCTTTCCAGTAAAAGTTGCACCTGGAATAAGGTTTTCATTCTTCACAGGAGGCATCTCACTCTTTCTAGCAGGTCTTGAACGCTTAGATTGAACAGATGTAGGACTCACATCTGATATGGAGGATTCTTGACTTGTTTCAGCAGCATCAGATGAAGCTTCTGAGACTTCACCTGATCCATCATCTGTAGCAGTTGCTTCTACTTCTTCCACTGCTACATCAGTCTCAGTTGCTGATACTACAAGACCTCTTAATTTAGGTCGTAAAATGCAACCAACTCTAAAATGGGGAAACAATTTAATAGATGTTGACAGAGGCAGGATATATTTTGGGGTAGGTAAAGTCTGATTGCTGGATTTTCGTGAAACATTGTATTTTGATAAACATTGATTCCTTCTTGTGAGAAGGACAGCTCCTGGAGTAACTGATACAATGGTAGTTGCAATTGAAACCATTGGAGCCATGTTGATTGATATTTGGGATTGCTAAGGTTTGTGAACTACAAGGATTAGATCATCTGTTCCACACCTGAGAAATATATAAAACGGTTAGAGAAAGAAAAAAACATGACTATATCATTTAATAATAGTGTGATGGGATAACAACTGCAGCATGACTTAACTACTATAAACATATAGAACAAACAGCAAAGCCCAGTACTAGAGTTGCTGAAAATAGATGGATAGTTGCATATGTCTGCCATTTAGGCGCGTGCCCGCTAATTCATTGAAAAGTACTCAATAAACAACAAAAAAAATAAAATTACACTTGAACTTAAAGATTGTGGTCAAGAAATCATCATAAGCAATTCCATAAACAAGAATGAAATAGGTGATTATAACATGTAGGCTAGCGGTTTAGAAAAATTCAAAAATTCATTAAAAAGCAGATTATATACCTACTTTCTACACCTTCAGAATTGAAAAGCACAAATGCAATTCAGTATCTCATAATATACGTAGTTTGCAAAAAAGCAAGTAAATCCACAGACTATCATACCAGAAACTCTAACTTAGAAGCTGAATATTTAACAATTCCAACTATGAACCATTAACATTGCTCAACATTGAACTTAAGATATTCAATCAACAACGGGAGGATTGTTTTCAGTGCATATAATTGATCATACTGAGTTACCCATCAATTATGGTTTTTCTATGGCACAACTACACACTAAGTAAACAATCCAAATGAAGCCGAAAAAATTACTGAATTAGTGAAAGAAAGGAGTAGAAACTTTGAGAAACTAAAAGTAATTTCCTAGAATGAAGAAACCAATGAAAGCAGAGAAGGAAGTTGAGGTGAGAAATCAAACCTTTGAATGGGTGGCTTGTATGCATATATGAAGAAACAAGAGAGCTATAGTGTAGCTGAAATGAAGTTATTGTTGTTGTTGCTGGTGAGGGAGGGGATAGGGGTCTCTCACACACACTTCACTCTTCCTGTTTGTGAGTTTATGGCTAATAAAAAAGAGGGAAACGAAAGGTGGGGCTTTCTATCCTTATCCGGACCATCATCTCTTTGTCAAAACACGGATTCATGATCCTCTCATTCCGGTCGGGTCGGGTCCGGCTAGCCTAGCTACCTCGTCAATTTTGTCGCCTATGCCAGCCAGCCCATCATGCTTTGGAAGATTTTGTAGAGAGACTTTGGGATATTTACTTTTTGGAAACTTACATAACTATACTATATTTAAAAAATATTTACCATTTATAGTAATAACATTTTTTTTTTCACTTGATCATTTTTAATACATTTATAATACAGTTTTATTACATATTACAAAGAACAATTTATGATTCACATATAATACAAGTTTTATTGATGGATAATACATTTATCACACATTTTAATACACCTATAATATAATGTGTCAGTTTCTTACCAAACACACATAATATATTTTTAAAAAACAGTTATAATGCATATATATTGCATACAAAATTCACTTTTAATACATATTGCAGATTTAACATAGTATTGTTATGTATTACTATAAATGGTAATAAATAAAAAGTATCACTAAAATCAGTAATCATTTATTAAAAGGTACCCATCCAAGTAATTTTTCCTTCATAAAAATTTGGGAAAATTTCATAAACAAGGAAAAATCACCCCACACATATATTTAAGAGTTAAAATTACAATTTTTATATATATATTTTTTATTACTACTTGTAAAGTTTTAATTCCAAGTATTAACAGATCAATTTTAATTTATAAATTAATTATTTATATTTTATTATTTAATTTACATAATGTTAATAGGTGAGAGAAAAGGAAAATTATGAGAAAGAATAAGATGATAATTTGCAATTACATCTTACAAAAGAGTCTCACATACACACATTTCTCTTTCCACCCACGATTACTCATTCTCTTCCAACTTCTCCATTATTCTTTTTCTCCATTCAAACGAAAACGGCAGCAAATCTTGTAAACAAGACTCAAAATTTTTGGTTCACAAACAAATATACCGAAGAATAAAAAGGTTCATCATACACCTAGAAAGAGTTCGAGATGTGTAGAAGATGTATCTAATCTTGAAATAGAGCCTCCAAGTTTTAATATTTTAACTCAAATTTCTCCGCTCAAGATGAATGCAACTCCTGTGAAGAAGAGTGTTACCCCTTCGAAGAAAAAATAAAACCCAACTAAGGAGAAGAAAAAAGAATCAAAGAATACATTCACTCCTCCAAATCGTAAGGGGGGTGGATGAAAGGGAAAATGGTGGAACCTCTGTTATCGGAGTATTCAAACTCCGATTCAGATTTTGTAAGCCAAAAAATAATAATTATAAAGAATTCCTTTTGGTATGAATCTTGTATTAAACAGTGTTTACTGTTAGTATGAAATTGTTATAGATAATGATAAAAAACTGTATGCATTTGATATACTATTTATATAACAAAACACAATTACTAGTTGCAGTTGTTTTGAAATTGATATTCCTTTGGTATAAATCTGGTATGAATCAGTGTTTACTTCTGGTATGAAATTAGTATAAATATTAGGAAAAAAACTTGTATGCATTTGGTACTATTTATATAACAAAACATAATTACTAGTTACAATTGTTTTGAAATTGATATTCTTTTGGTATGAATCTAGTATGAACTAGTGTTTACTTTTGGTATGAAATTGGTATAGACTTATATAGAATAATGATATGAAATTGGTATATTGTTATATAAAGAATCTCATCTACCACCATCTTTTGTTAATATTGATAATAAACCTTTCATCACAGTATAAAACGAAAACAAAACAAAAAAATTGTGAAAGAAGACAGTGTTGAAGCGTAATCACCTTCTGATTGAGAAGTAGTAGGTGAGGAATGTGGGGCTGCGTTCTTTCTTCGGGGAGCCATAGTACCTGAGAAGTACCAAAAACCCATTAGTACGCAAATCAGTAAAATGACACACTATCGGGTACTCAGACTTCCCCTGTGTAATTACAACGTGATGCCTTGCCTTAAGAATGTCGTCACCCAATCTATCATTGGGAAAGGCCACGGAATGGAAATGCAAAAACAGAATTAAAAGAATAGAAACAAAAATAATATTATGTTTTTTATATGGGAGCCAAGGGGGGTCGTGGTGGGTACCACGGTCTGTCTAGGTGCCCGTGAACACAAGTTAGTGTACTGAATATATGGGACAACTTACTGGAATGGATCACAGATGGCTTCAAGGTCTGTGGAGTGAACCACGGTCCGTGAAGACCATCGTGATCCTAGCCAGTGTAACCCCATTTTGCTAAGTGTGGTCCACGAGGGGTTTCACGACCCATAGTTGATCCCACGGTCCGTGAAGCCCATCATGGACTTACACTTGACCTTTTTTCAGTGTTCCTCTTCTTCCAAAAACACATATGCCCAATTCACTCAATTTCATCACCCAATCACATAGTTACGAGACGTATTAGCACATGAGTCCAACCAATCCACCACATTTATCAATCTCTCTTAAATCAAGCACAATCTATGCCTAATGTGAACATACCCACATGCACATGAGAGTAATCATACAAGTTCAACAATTACACCATATTTTATCAGTAAAACACACAAATATACTCTTTGCTTACAAATGGGACTCAAACACACACTCATATCTACACTCAATGCAAATTTCTCCCAACTTCATTATACCCACACACAAGAACCATAAATATTACCCAATTCAAACTAACCCACAACAATTCAATATCAACAAAGATAGTTCATCACATAATCATGGTAAATTTGATTAAATCAAAGTAAATTTGACTTGTTTTTCGATAAGATCAAACTTATAACAAGTGTTAGAAGAACTTACTTGGAATTAGAGTAAAACTTCGCCCAAAAAGAGAGACTAGACTGTTGCTTTAATTTCTTGATCCTTAGAACTAGGGTTTCAAATTCTTTGATGAAATTGGAACTTATGGATGTTGAAAAACCTTTTTATACAAGGGATAACCGTTATGGAAGAGATAAAGTGAAGAAAAGATTTGACCCTTGGCGCTTGAAGAGCAATATATACGTTTCATTTTTATCTTTCAAAAAGCGCGGGTCGGGTCGGGTTTCAGTGATTCTAGGTTAAGGACGACGGACCGTGAAGTGGCCCGTAAAGGGCACCACGGTCCGTGTAGGGGTCCGTGAACATGACTTGACAAGGTAAAACTTACCTGAGGTTCACGAGAGGCTAGACGGTCCGTACAAAGTCTAACAGACCGTGAACCCTTCCGTGAACCACTTTCTAGTAGCTCCCGTATTAAGTAGGTGCTTGTGACGAACCGTGAAGGGAACCACATCCCGTGGGATTGCCCGTGAAGGGTTTCCTGCACCAGTTCTGCAATTCTTAGTCCAAATCATTCCTGCACACATCAATACCCAGTGGCTTTAAAACAAAGAGAAAAATGATAAAATATAAACTACCTATTACAATTACAGTCTTGGGTTTCCTCCCAAGCAACGAACAATTTAATGTCGCGGCGCGACGCAGGCTACTTGCTTACTCAGACTTCATCAAGCTTAAATTCCTCCACTATTTTCACTTTTTCTGGAACACCTAAGTATGCCTTGATTCACTGACCATTTGCCTTGAACCTCTCACCCTTGTCAATCTCAAGCTCAATAGAACCCTATGGGAACACCTGAGTTACCTTAAAAGGTCCAGACCATTTGGATCTCAACTTTGCTGGAAACATATGATGTCTGGAGTTGAAAAGTAACACCAATTAACCAGGAGTGAAGGTTCTTTTCTCAATATACTTATCATGATACAACTTCATCCTCTCCTTGTACAGTGCATACCTCTCATATGCTCTCAAGTGAAACTCATCTATCTCATTGATTTGATCCAGTCTCAGGTTTACAGTTTCACCCCAACTAAGGTTCAACTTCTTTAAAGCCCAGAGTGCCTTATGCTCAAGCTCAACTTGTAAATTACTTGTCTTTCCAAACACCAACTGATATGGAGACATACCACTAGGCATTTTGAAAGTTGTCTGATATGCCCATAGAGCATCATCTAACTTTGTAACCCAATCTGTCGTGTTGGAATTCACTATTTTTGCCAGAATAACCTTTATTTCCCTATTTGATACATGTACTTGGCCATTGGTCTGCGGGTGATAAGGTGTGGCCACCTTGTGCTATTTAACCCCATATTTGGCCAGAAGAGCACTGAATACCTTATTGCAAAAATGGTAACTTCCATCACTGATAATAGCTTTGGGTGTGCCAAATCTTGAGAAGATATTCTTCTTCAGAAACCCAACAACATTCTTGCCATCATTCTCAGGCAGAACAATTGCCTCAACCCATTTAGACACATAGTCCACTGCCAAAAGTATATACCTTTTCCCATATGAGCTCACAAATGGGCCCATAAAAGCAACTCCCCACACATCAAATAGCTCCACCTCCAGAATAGGCATCATGGGGAGCACGTGGTGCCGAGATATGGCTCCTTGCGCTGACATACATCACAATTGTTCACTATATCCATTGCATCCTGATGAATTGTAGGCCAGTAGTACCCACTCTAAAGTACCTTGTGGGATGTCCGAGCACCTCCATGATGGCCATCCACTGGAGAGGAGTGACATGCCTCTAAAATATGTAGCACCTCAGCCTCAGGGATGCATCGCCTGATGATATTATCATCACACACCCTATACAAATAAGATTCATCCCTAAAATACTTACATACATCATACATGAACCTCTTCTTTTGCTGAAATGTCAACCCCTCAGGCATCAAATCACTAACAAGAAAGTTAACAAAATCAGCAAACAGAGGAATACAATCAAGAGTGGCAGCTAATACCTGCTCATCCGAGAACGAATCATTGATTTCTAGCTCAAGTTCCTATTTCTTTTCAGCATCCAACCTAGACATGTGATCATCCACCTGATTTTCACAAGATCTCCTATCATTAACCTCAAAATCAAACTCCTGAAGCAGCAACACCCATCTGATCAACCTTGGCTTGGCATCTTTCTTTGCCATGAGATATCTCAGAGCTGCATGATCCGTGTGGACTATCACTTTAGTACCCAACAAGTAGGCCCTGAATTTCTCAAAGGCATAAACCACAACCAGTAGTTCCTGTTCAGTGACTGTGTAGTTTTTCTGTGCTCCATTTAGTGACTTGCTAGCATAGTAGATCAGATGGAACATCTTGTTGCGCTTCTGCCCCAATACAACTCCTAAGGCAGTACAACTAGCGTCGCACATTACCTCAAATGGTTCAGCCCAATCTGGGCCAATGATCACTGGAGCAGAAATCAACTTCTCCTTCAAGCATTTAAAAGCTTTTAGGCATGCCTTATCAAAAGCAAAATTCATCTCATTCTCCAAAAGCCTGCACAAGGGATGTGCAATTTTTGAAAAGTCCTTCATGAATCGCCTATAAAATTCGGCATGCCCTAAAAAACTTCGAACACCTTTCACACAGATAGGTGGAGGAAAATTTTCAATCACCTCAATTTTGGCTTTGTCAACCTCTAATCCCTTTTGTGACACCTTATGACCGAGGACTATACCTTCCTTGACCATGAAATGACACTTCTCCCAGTTCAACACTAGATTGGACTCCTCGCATCTCTGTAAAGCCCTGCTAAGATTGAACAAATAATCATCAAAAGTATCACCTACCACTGAAAAGTCATCCATGAATACCTCCAGAGTATCCTCCACCATATCCAAGACGATGGACATCATACACCTCTGGAAAATTGTTGGTGCATTACATAGTCCAAATGTCAGGTGTTTAAATGCAAAGGTGCCATAAGGACATGTAAAATTGGTATTTTCCTAATCTTTAGGAGCAATTCATATATGATTGTACCCAGAGTATCCATCTAAGAAACAGTACCACCCTTTTCCAGCCAACCTGTCAAGCATCGAATCTATGAATGGGATTGGGAAGTGATCCTTCAAGGTCCACTTGTTCAGCTTTCTGTAGTCCATGCACACTCGCCATCCAGTGATTGGTCTCTGCGAGATCAACTCATTCTTTGCATTGGCGGCCATTGTCATACCACATTTTTTAGGCACACATTGCATTGGGCTGACCCAAGGACTATAAAAAATGGGGTACACAACCCCAACATCTAACCACTTGATGATCTCTTTTTGACCACCTCTTGCATTGGTGGATTTAACCTCCTCTGGTGTGCAATGCTTGGGCTGCAGTCCTCCTCAAGTTGGATCTTATAAGTCCATATACTCGGAGGTATCCCAATGATGTCAGCAATGGTCCACCCAATTTCCCTTTTATACCTTATTAACACTTTGATCATAACTTATACCTGTTCATCATTCAAATCTACAACCAAGATCACAGGCAAAGTGTTGTTAGTCCTAAAAAAATACATACCTCAAGTGACTGGGTAATTGTTTCAGTTCCACCACAGGCAGCTCCTCAATGGATGATTTTTTTTAGGGACTTGTCCTATTTTTTAGATCCATGTCCAGTTTCTTTAGAGAATAAGAGTGTGCTCCCATGCCCTGTAAATCATTCACGGTCTCCACGTAGTTGTCCGAAAATTTGCTTCAAAGTTCATCAACACGGTTGCTAATGTTTCGACAGCCAGCCTCTCCTCAATAGTCGCTCCCATCTCTCTTCATCAAAGGCCTCTATTGCAGACATCACATTCATGTCTTGTGGCTGTTTCATTGGCCTACAAATTTTAAACCTTACCTCTTTCTTGTTGAGTCTGAATTTTAGTTCTCCACTCTCAACATCTACCAATGCTCGTCATGTGGCCAGAAATGTTCTTCCCAAAATTATGGGAACCTCAAAATCCACTTCAAAAACCAAGATCACGAAGTCTTCTGGAAAGATGAAATTCTCCACCTTTACAATCACATCACATAAGATGCCTACAAGTCACTTCACCAATCTATCTGCCATCATCAACCTCATTGCTATGGGTTTTTGAACTCCCAACCCCTGTTGCTTGTATATGGCCAGCGACATCAATTTTATACTGGCCCCTAAGTCACACAAGGCCTTTGCAAATTCAATTGATTCAATGGTGCACGGTATGGTGAATGCACCCGAATCTTCCTCCTTCTGTACCAGAGATCTGGTAGCAATAGCACTGCAGTGATAACGTTGTGAGTAAAATCAAAACTTACAGTTCTTTTCTTCGTGACCAAGTCCTTCATGAACTTAGCATATCTTGGGATCTGCTCTAGGGCTTCCACCAATGGAATGTTCACTGACAGCTGTCTCAGCATGGTTATGAACTTAGAAAATTTCCCATCTTCAGCTTTTTTTAAGCCATTGAGGGGACGGAGGAGGTGGTCTTGGTATCTGCTGTGAAGGCATCGTTCCGTCAACCCCTTTTTCCTTTGATCTTGCTGGTTTTGCTAATGGTTGCGCGCCTTCCACATCATCTACCTGTTCAGATTCAGCCTGTTCTCTTCCAGTTCGCTCCAACCCCTGTTCATGCTCAGTACCTACAGAAATTGGTTCATCAAGAATCTTACCACTCCTGGAGGTGATAGCCATGCAATGCCCGTCCTTCTTGGGATTCTGAATAGTGTCACTTGGTAGTGACCCATTCTTCCTCTGGTTCAGTGATGCTGAATGTTACCCCAACTGTTGCTCAATTTGCTTAATGGAGGTGGTATGAGAGTCTACCAGTTGACTCATACTGGAGAAATAACCTTTCATCTCCTTCATCCCTACATCAATTGACTCAACCTTTTAGAGCACCTTATCCAACATAACTTCCAGCTTAGACCCGCTGGAACTACCACTTGAACGGTCTCTATTGCCTGGGGGCATATACACACCATTGCGATCATTTTTATAACCATCTTTTTTCTGCCAGTTTCCCTACTCTCTATTTGCTGGTCTGTCATACTGTCCTTCCCTGAAATAGTTCCGACCTGTATTTCCAGAATTATAACCATGGTTTCTTGAGTTATAATTTCGGAAACCTCTTTGGTTGCCTGTCACGACCCAAATCTAGGGCCTATACGTGACCGGCGAATGGGGAACCCGAAGGAACCCCAAACAAGCCTCATAGCGTATCTTACACATCATTGGTCGCGGAAGCAATTAAAATGACCATAAGCGATAAGCATAATCAAGGGGAAAATCGGGACTAAGGGAGCAAGAAAAAAAAAAGAAATGGTACATAAATACCATAGATGAGTCAAGCTCAATCATAATACACAACTTGTCCAACACCACCTCTAAACATGAGTACTTAGCGGGGGCCAAGACAAACTACCGGGCTCACCCTCATAGTCAAAACATAACTAAAAAGAAAAGTCTTATACATAGCAAAAGATCATGAGCAACGTCCCCGGAATGGAGGACTCACCAATAACCTTGATAGGAAATCGTATTAGCCACGCGGAGGAGGATGGTCAAGCGGTGCTCCGGTCCCTACATGGTGACATCATGTAGGCATAGAGTATGCGTTAGTACGTTTGAATGTACTAAGTATGTGGGATGCAATGCAATGCTACAATAGATGGACATCATAGGAAAAATGCATAATCGTACCCGATAGATAGCATATTAATGAGATGATATGTATAATGATGCTTATATAAAAATCATATTTAGTAGGACATAGTATATGTGTAGTGAGTGACCATCAATATAGTATTTCCAAGGCCTACCACCCCCTTGGAGAGGCGAAAGAGGTACAAACCCCTCAATATGGTTATACGGGCCTACTACCCCCCGTACTAGGCAACCAAGGTACAAACCCCTCGATACGGTTATACGGGCCTACTACCCCCCGTACTAGGCAACCAAGGTACAAACCCCTCGATACGGTTATACGGGCCTACTACCCCCCGTACTAGGCAATCAAGGTACCAACCCCTTGATACGGTTACCCGGGCCTACAACCCCCCGAGCTAGGCTTGATCGACTCACACACTATATAGAGAAAATCATATACATGTATCCATTTCATCATCATTTCAATACTTATATAATCATCCGACTCATAGGACGTACATTGGACCTTCCATTTCATAAGAATTCTATAAATGGCATTTTATCAAACATATGGTGGGCTACTTGTTCATGTAAATAAAATCATGTGTTTCAAGAGTACTAAGTCCAACCAATTTCAAAATCCATATAAAACAGCCCACCAACAACATACATATATATATACATATATAACAACCTTCATAATTTGATCATTGAGGCATGAAAACCATAAACATCATATAATCATTCCATTTCATGATAATATACAAAAATAGACCATAATAGGATGTGTAGTAATAATTCCATAATTCAAGAGTTCATAAATGATCATAAGGACCCATAAACTTGAAGTAGAATAGAGGATAAATGGTTGGACTTGTGGAAAGGAAGGTTTCCACAATCAACCCACATACCTCAACTTTGGAGAATCCTTGATGAAGATTGGAATGGAGAATTGTTTGAGATTGAATCTTGAATCCGGAATTAAAGCTTGGGATCCTTGAATTTGGTTGATGATCTTGGTGGAATTTTTGGAGAGGGTTTAGAGAGAGTTTTTGGATGTTTTGAAGTTAAATGACTAAGTATGGATATGTCCCCTTTTTATAAAAACGTCCCAACACTTAGAAAAAAAATTGAGGCGGGTGAACAGTGTTTTCGGCTACTGGAATTTGCATTTTCTGCCGGACAGGTTTTACGAAAATGGTCATAACTCCTTCATCCTAACTCGGAATGAGGTGAAACAAATTGCGTTAGAAAGCTAACTCACAGAGCTTTAATTTTGATAGTTTGAGCTCCTTCCAGTTCCTTGTGTGCTGAGAGATATGCCCCTTTAAAGTTGACCTTCAAAATCGCATTTTTTGCGATTTTCGAATTTTGATACGGTTGTTCTAAAATTCGGGTTAGACTCATTTCCCACTCAATTTGACCCCCTGAATAAGAATATGAAGTCGAATTTCCGAAATCATGCACGGATTTTGAGATATATGGAAATTACAATTATAGGTGTTTCCGAAGCACATTTTCGGGCATTTTTGGGGTCGTTTCAATATCTTCCCCTTGGGAACATTCGTCCCCGAATGTTAAAGAAACATACATGAGAGACACAAACATGGCAATTTCAGCCCACATAAGGATGCAACAATGCATTTACACCTTATTTCAAAAACCTCAACATAATTGTAAAACCACAATGAACCAATTGTCAACTTAAACATGAATGTATGCAATGACATTATCATGTTTAGTGATGTTCAAGGAGAAACTACCTTCTCCTAGTCATAACACACCAACATCAACATTTCTCATGTTCATAGGAGGAACTACCTTCTCCTAGTCATTACATAGTCCATACATCATTAAGCACATATGCAAGTTTCCATGTTCAATAGCACTCTTTCAAGGAGGAACTTCTCAACTCCTTACTAAGACATGCTCATACCTTATTTTCATGAAGTACAATAGATCACTTATAACCAATGCACTACAACATGAGGGAAACAACTCATACAACTCATCTTTCTTCAAAAACACAAGTTTTTATGGAAATGCGCAAACCTCATTAATTCACATAAACATGGGAGGAACTACCTCCTCTACTCTTTAGGAAAGTTTCCACCACATAAGGAGCTACATTCCATTTCATAAGAACACATTCAAGCATGTTCATTTAATTCACATCATCAAGTCAAGTATGTCATATTACACACAATGCACAACTTAGGAGAAAAAAAAATCTCCATTTAAAACACACATCATACAACATGAGAGAATAGGACTACTTCTACGAACTCAATATGCATGCAACTTAGACATATTCCGTTTCATTGGAGGAATTTCCTCCTCCAACTCAAATCATGCTTATCATATGATCTTCGGCCAATTATGCAATTACTTCTTAAAAGCACATTTAAACCATTCACCTCATGAATCACATAGGTTACTTACTCTAATTGCCTATCAACATGAGGGGCATGAAACATGAAAACTCATTTTTATCTCAAAACATGAATTCTCAAAAACATACCTTTCATAAGGAAATCATCAGAATATAAAAATCACACAT